AGCAAAGGGTCTGAATATTTAGGACCATGTGATATTTCAGTTTTTCTTTTTTAATAAATTTGCAAAAATGTCAACAATTCTGTGTTTTTCTGTCAATATGGGGTGCTGTGTGTACATTAATGAGGAAAAAAAATTAACTTAAATGATTTTAGCAAATGGCTGCAATATAACAAAGAGTGAAAAATTTAAGGGGGTCTGAATACTTTCCGTACCCACTGTATAAGCTCGATACAATAGAGCCCCCCCTCATAACCAATCCCAATTTAACCCCTGGTTACAATAGTTTTGTAAGTCTCATATCTCGACCTTACAATCTGCACATATCTTGCTACATGTGTATTAAATGTCCAAAACACACTTTCTCCATAGTTTAAATAAAATTGCTAGATTCGGATTTCCCTCCTTTTGTTTTGTATAGCAGAATATATTAAGATGAACGGAACAAACGGCCCTTTCCAGTATCACTTTGATGGCTAAATGCAAAAAGTAGTTTGTCATGCAGATGGAAATGACTAACTTTCCTAAAATGGACAACTAAATGCTATAAAACGAATGCATTTATTTATATATATATAATTTTTCTTTTTTAACTGAGTTCAAAAGTAATGGGATCTGACCCCAGCTCTCTGGTTACAAATCCTACTAATTGTATTTGTCCTGTTCTTTCTTTCAGAACTCCAACATTTGCTGGTGGTTTGTTCTCTATATCTAAGGCCTATTTTGAGAAAATTGGGACCTACGATGACAAAATGGAGATATGGGGCGGCGAAAATGTTGAGATGTCTTTTAGGGTTAGTTTTAGCTCTTCAGAATTCACCTACAACTATAATAATGAGATGTTAAACGTGTATGTGTTTTGTGCTGTCAGGTGTGGCAGTGTGGCGGACAGCTGGAGATAATCCCCTGCTCCGTCGTGGGTCATGTGTTCCGCACCAAGAGTCCTCACACCTTTCCCAAAGGTACAGAGGTCATTACACGTAACCAGGTGCGCTTGGCTGAGGTGTGGATGGACGACTATAAGCTGATTTATTATCGACGCAGCCAAAGTGCAGCTAAAATGGCCAAAGATGTAAGAACTACTTTCAGAGAATTAAAATATTAACCTTGTGTTTGTGGTTCTACAGTATATCTACTGTAAGTGTAAGCAAGAGCATATGACTAACTGCATGACTTTTGCTTCCTGTATGGTTGTGTAGAAAACCTACGGTGACCTATCTGACCGTTTGAAACTCAGAGAAAGCTTACAGTGCAAGAACTTTTCTTGGTACCTAACCAATGTCTACCCAGAAGCCTTTGTCCCTGATCTTACCCCTGTCAAGTTTGGAGCTGTAAGTCATTTTAAAAACGCAACATTCATGACGATTAGCCATTTTAACCCAGTCTGGGACCAAATGTTTATTTATTATTTTATTTTGTGTGTGTAGCTCAAGAATAGGGGATCACAGCAATGTCTGGATGTTGGAGAAAGTAACAATGGGGGAAAGCCTGTGATTATGTATGTATGTCACAACATGGGCGGCAATCAGGTATAGTACCATTGCTGTGTCATTCACATTGATATTATGATTAGAGGTGCTCTTAAAACAAAAGTGACGCATTGTAATAAGAATAAAACGACATTTTGACCATGGTTTTCTTCTTGATCCAAAGAGATCAGATGTTCATCGTGATGTTTTGTTTTCAGTACTTTGAATATACGTCACATAATGAGCTGAGGCATAACATAGGGAAACAGCTCTGCCTGCATGCGTCTCCTTACCCAGAGCCAGTGAAGATTGAGCTCTGTACGCTGGAGGGCAAAGGCAGTAGTTTGACTCCTGAACAAGAGTGGGTGGTCACAGAAGTAAGTGTTATCTCTGAACAGAAATGAATTACTCAACTGGTCTTTCTTCGTTTTTACTGTCTCTGTTTGTTATCAGATCCTACTTTCTTCCCCTTTTACTTGATGTCTGTTGCAGTCTTTTTTAGCAGGTGAACAACTTGATCAAATACCACTGTTGTCACCAAAAATATAAGCTATATTTAAAGATGTTATAAATGTTGTATATTGATGTACACTACCGTTCAAAAGTGAATGGTCTGGATGATTTTATTTATATTACACTTTTTTTTTTTCTTCACAGTAAGGATGCGTTAAATTGATCAAAAAGACATTTATAGTGTAGCCAGATATTTCTGTTTTAATAAATGCTGTTCTTTTGAACTTTTCTGTTCATCAAAAAATCGTGAGAAATATGGTTTCCACAAAAATTAAGCTGTACAGCTGTTTTTAGAATTTATTAGACATGTTTCTTGTGCACCAAATCTTCATATTAGAATGATTTCTGGAGGATTAAGTGACACTGAAGACTGAGTAATAGCTGCTGAAAATAATTGAGAATATTTCACAGTATTACTGTATTTTTGATCAAATGCATACAGCCTTGATGAGACTTCTTTCATAAACTTTTACAAAGCTCACTGACCCCAAACGTTTAAACTGTAGTGTACTGTATATGTTTAGATTATATTATAATATTAGAATGAATAATTAAATCCTGATATTCATGTTACATTTTCAGGTCAACTTTTCACCGTAATCTATAATAATTTAAATTGCTGTGATTTGATAGTTTCACCTCATTCACATGAAAAACTTGTTTACGTTTCTTCTTGCTGTTATGCTAATTTTAGGAGCAACTACTGAAGAATCCATCCTCTGGAAAGTGTCTCCATAAGAAAGGAGACAAGATATTAATGAGCCCCTGCAATCCAGAAGACCATCACCAGCAGTGGGCTTTCAGTTGACCCCACACTCCAATTGAGGAGCAAGGACATTCGCTCCCATAAGACCCACGAGGGAGGGTCAGCAGCTACAGCTCAGGCTGACCAGCTCACTGCAGGCCTGAGCGGATGCACTGGGAGTGTGTTGGATAGTTCATATCCATAAGCTCCCAAAGACAGCCTTGATGAGACTTCTTTCATAAACTTTTACAAAGCTCACTGACCCCAAACGTTTAAACTGTAGTGTACTGTATATGTTTAGATTATATTATAATATTAGAATGAATAATTAAATCCTGATATTCATGTTACATTTTCAGGTCAACTTTTCACCGTAATCTATAATAATTTAAATTGCTGTGATTTGATAGTTTCACCTCATTCACATGAAAAACTTGTTTACGTTTCTTCTTGCTGTTATGCTAATTTTAGGAGCAACTACTGAAGAATCCATCCTCTGGAAAGTGTCTCCATAAGAAAGGAGACAAGATATTAATGAGCCCCTGCAATCCAGAAGACCATCACCAGCAGTGGGCTTTCAGTTGACCCCACACTCCAATTGAGGAGCAAGGACATTCACTCCCATAAGACCCACGAGGGAGGGTCAGCAGCTACAGCTCAGGCTGACCAGCTCACTGCAGGCCTGAGCGGATGCACTGGGAGTGTGTTGGATAGTTCATATCCATAAGCTCCCAAAGACATTATGATCAGACTGGGGTCAGGATGCTCAGGGAAGACAGAGTGGAGATCATGCACATCAACCCACTGGAGCATGGGGAGAGTGAACAATCCAGCAGCAAGATTGTTTACTTGATGCATTTTATTGCCTTATTGATGATGTTTACTGCTGCTTTTAAATGGTGTAGGTTTTATTTATTTTTAAAGAAATGGAAAATTAAATATTTTTGGAACATTGTTAGTGTTAAGGCCACTGAATGGCCAGCCTTGCCAACTATACATGTGATGTTTGTGTGATCCTAATCATTTGCACATGCTGCAGGGGATGAGGGTTTTCTTCAGCTTAGTAAACTGTCACAAGACAGCATTGGTTTTAGATTCTTCTCTTGTGTTTTTGAAGCCGTCAGTATGTATAAAGCAGCATGTGACTTGAATTGCTTGATTGTTTCAGTGTGCTGAGGTCTTTTGGGGGAAATCATGCTCTGATGGATACATCTTTTTAATTGTTTCGTCCTCTTCAACTCTATATTATTATTCTTTATAAATTGACTACACAGATTTATTCTTCGATAACTGGAGATTTCAAATATTTGAAATTTTTTGATGTATAAAAAAAAATACACACTCCCAGATCATTTGCTGGTGTCGTTTTTGAAATCTGTCCGTCCATCCATCCAGACCATATAGATACGGTCACCATAGTTTCCATCAAAATAACAGTTCATGACTACACAGATTTATTCTTCGATAACTGGAGATTTCAAATATTTGAAATTTTTTGATGTATAAAAAAAAAATACACACTCCCAGATCATTTGCTGGTGTCGTTTTTGAAATCTGTCCGTCCATCCATCCAGACCATATAGATATGGTCACCATAGTTTCCATCAAAATAACAGTTCATGATTTTTTTTTAGGTCTGCTGTCCTGCAGTATTTAGCTCCAACACTGATCAAACACACCTGCTTGTAATATTCAGGTAATCCTGAAGACTTGAGGAGCTTGTTCATGTGTGTTGTAGCTAAACTCCTACAGGAGCAGAATTAAAGAACCGGTAGCCTGCTGCTGTTATCATCACAATGAAATTGTGATCCGCAAACGAAATAAAGCAACACAAAGCTTCCGAAATATTACACTGTCTTATGGAGTTCCTTTATTCTTTTTCTTCCTGATTTTACAATTGTAGTATTTGTAGTTGCTATGGTGTTTTTAGTGGAAATTATGGAAGTTGAGAGATTTTTTTGTTGTTGTCTGTTTTGCGTATATATTACAGCGGCCTTTTTGAATAGAATAATTTATAAGGTGGTGTAATGGTAGCTTTGTGGCCAACGGTTGTGAGGCCAAATCTGTCATTTCTCTTGTTCACCGATAGGTGGCAGCCGGCGTCTTCATGTTGTTTTGGAGGATTGTAAAAACAGGTAGTAAAAATAAACTGAGAAACTGAAGGTTGTTCCTGAAAGTACAGGTAACATGCGTTCACTGATAACGTTCTCCTACAACGTGGCGTGAGAGTTAGTGCTGTAAAACCAGCACGTTTAATTCTATTTTTAGAGCTGCTTATCTCAGTAAATTTCAAACTGAGGCGCTCTGTGTTTGTATAGACGCTTATCTCTATTTACCGTGGTTACCATAGTTTCCGCCAAAACACCAACTGATTAATGCTGTAAAATCTAGTTCATCTTAAATGGCTAGTCAGTTATCAATTTATTTTATGCCAGCTGCTTATTTACAATACATTCTGTTTCCATGCATACTTCAGGGGGAAAAAAGTGTTTGCTTATGTTCTAACATCATAACATAAAAGGTTTAAAAGTGGATTTTAACCTCAGTTTTTTTGTAAGTGATGTGCTTTAAGTCATTGTATGTTGAATTGAGATTTTAACATGAGAATTCATGTAATTTGGCAAAGTGTGTTAAAGCTGTTGTCAGTATTTACTGTTTAGTAAGACCTGATTGGTTTTTCTTATGCCAATTGATTGTTGGTTGGATTGAGATTGATTGTTTGCACCTGTGAATAATTGCCTATTTATACTTCTCCTCACCATGTAAGAAATCATACCTTGACGAAGGCTTTTAGCCGAAACTTTGGTTAATCAAATAAAGTAGGCCTAGTACTTTTGTAAGTGTGTGTGTGTGTGTGTGTGTGTGTGTGTGTGTGTGTGTGTGTGTGTGTGTGTGTGTGTGGTTTTACATCCTCTCTACATAGATTTGGTATCTTCTGACCTGCACCTCGGATGCTGTGCGTGTGCTTGATTATTTTATGTTCTGATATCAACACAGGTGCACAGAGTGTACTGAATGCTGCGATCCAAGAGGAATTGAAATATACTTTATCGTCCCCAGAGGGGAAATTTGTAGTGGACTCAATAGCCAACATTTCGACAAAACCTGATTCATTAAAAATTAAAAACCCTATACATACACAATATACACATCAACCATTCACACAGATACAGAAAGGCATAAACTTCACTACTCAGTATTCAACAGTCTGATTGACACTGGTATAAAATAATTTTTGAACCGGTTCCGCTTACACCAGGGAATTCTATACCTTCTCCCAGAGGGTAAGAGTTCATAACACTGATAGAGTACATTTAGGATCCTTTTTGCCTCATTCAATGTACATTGCATTTGAATACTGGGATAGTCTTTCAGTCCTATCATTTTCATAGCAGTTCGAACAATATACAGTATCTTTGATTTGGATGTTACAGAAAGATTACTATACCAGGTGGACAAACCATACATGATAACACTCTAATATAGACTGATAAAAGAGATGCATAACTTTCCTGTCAACTCCATAAAACCACAATCTACGTAGATAATACAATCTCTGGTGAAGTCTTTCACAAACCCAATTAACATGAGTGTCCCACGTAAGAGATTTATCTATATGCACTCCTAAATACTTGTATGATTGCACCTGTGTAATTTCTTGATTGTGAGCAGATACAGGCATATGATCACCAATACCCTTAGGATCAAAGATGATTTCCTCCGTTTTCTTAGTGTTTACTTTCAAAAAATGAGTATCACACCACTCAACAAATGAGTTGATCTCAGAGTAATAAACAGAAGAAGAGTCTTGTTTTTTCAACAGACTTAAAATTACTGTTTCATCTGAGTACTTCAGAATAAAATTCTGTGGGTGCCTACTTGAGCACTCATTAGTGTATAGCGTAAAAAGAACTGGTGAACTAACACAGCCCTGTGGGATGCCAGTACTACAGTATTTTTCTTGGGACAAACTATTATTTACTTTAACTCTCTGAGTTCTGTTTGTTAAAAAGGAGTGATACCACTGTATAATTGTAGGATTTACACCTAACTGCTTTAATTTTTTAATTAAGACATACGGTTGAATAGTATTAAAAGTTGAATTAAATCAATATAAAGCACACGTGCATACGCATCAGAATCCTCCAAATGATTTAAGACCAAATGCATCAAGCTATTAATAGCATCACCTGTTCCCCTTCCTTTGCTATAAGCGAACTGGAGTGGATCTAAAAACCCAATTCCAAAAAAGTTGGGACACTGTACAAATTGTGAGTAAAAAAGGAATGGAATAATTTTTCCAACATGACAATGCCAGACCACATACTGCATCAGTTACAACATGGCTGCGTAGAAGGATCCGAGTACTGAAATGTCCAGATCTTTCACACATAGAAAACATTTGGCGCATCATAAAGAGGAAGATGCGACAAAGAAGACCTAAGACAGTTGAGCAACTAGAAGCCTGTATTAGACAAGAATGGGACAACATTCCTATTCCTAAACTTGAGCAACTTGTCTCCTCAGTCCCCAGATGTTTGCAGACTGTTATAAAAAGGAGGGGATGCCACACAGTGGTAAACATGGCCTTGTCTCAACTTTTTTTGAGATGTGTTGATGCCATGAAATTTAAAATCAACTTATTTTCCTTTAAAATTATACATTTTCTCAGTTTAAACATTTGATATGTCATCGATGTTGTATTCTGAATAAAATATTGACATTTGAAACTTCCACATCATTGCATTCTGTTTTTATTCACAATTTGTACAGTGTCCCAACTTTTTTTGGAATCGGGTTTGTAATTTATTACTAACATTTTCTCTTAACACTGACACAATACACTTCTTCACTACTGATGTAAGAGCAATTGGTCTAAAATCATGGTTACCCACATTTGGCACAGGAATTATGAGACTTCTTCCAGATTGCTGGGACTACTTTAGAATCTATAGAGCACCATACAGGTGACAATACCTCTGCACAGACTTTTAATAAAAATGAGATCCCATCAGGACCACCAGCGGATTTCTTCGAACACATCTGTTTAAATGGTGATTGAACCTGGTCACAATCAATCAACAACCGATTATCCCCCAAGTCAGTAGTAGATATAGAACTCTACTACACTTCTAAGAGGAAGTACTTTTCTCTGCCTTGCTGTAAACGTGTAACGACTTTAACTTCCTCTTTTTGGTGTAGTATGAGAT